CCAACCAACACCGGCTCTGGAGGACCGACCTTCGGCTGGCATTTGGCAAGGGTGGAAGGTGAGAGAGTCCACAGTGACTTTTGGAAACGGCTTCAGGTGTGACCGACTATGCCACGGAGCTGTCAGCCAGACACCAGACACAGTCAGCTGCCGAGGCACAAGACCGGGGAGAACGACGCTGGGAGCGGGGGCCAACCTTGTGCAGTGTCACCACGGGGCGAGCATGGGGGCTTCTCACTGGATCCCCACTGCCCGGTACAGAGGAGGCCATCGTCTCCTGCTCATGACGAGGAAACTGAGGCTCAGAGAGGCCCGCTGACCTCACGCGGCACAGCCGGCAGGAAGAGCTGGGCTTCCTCCGATAGGACTCTGTCTGGCCCTGGCCGGGTGGCTCGGCGGGTTGGAGCGCTGCCCTGTACACCAAAAGGTTGCGGGTTTGATTCCCAGCCGGGGGGTACTGGGAGGCAACCTATCAATGGTTCTCTCTCACATTGAGGTTTCTCTTCCCCCACCCTTCCTTTCTCTAAAATCAATAACCATATCCTTGAGTGAGGATTTTTTTTTTTAAAGAAAGCACTTGTATTTGAGAGGTACTATGTGTCATGCACAGTTCTCCACTGCGGGGGACAATTTCGCTCTCCAGCAACATACGGCAATGTCTACAAACATGTCTGGCTGTCACAACCTGGGGGCCGCTCCTGGCATCCAGTGGGGAGAGCCCACAGATGTTGTCTAGAGTCTTGCAAAGCACAGCACAGCCCCCACCAGGAAGAACTACAGGCCCCAACATTCAATAGTCCGCCACCGAGAAACCGCGGTAGTCCACAGCCCTCCTCCCAGGCTGTGAGTCTGGGATCTACCGTTTCTGACTTGTATAATCCTAAGAAAACTGCCTCAATACTCTGTGTCTCAGTTCCCTCCTTGGGTGAAACTAACAATATGAGTAGTACCTGCCTCATGGAGCATGCGTCCAGGGTTCAGCCCCGGGCATGGCCTGCAGTAGGGAGCTGAAGCGGAGGCATCTCTCTGCAGGGGGGCCGTTACAAGACCCCCAGTAGGGAGCCATCCAGCCAGGGCCCTGGCATCAACCAGCTCTGAAGTCCCTTGCCTCCCTCTTCTTCTGTACAAGAGACAGGGGGTGAGCCAAGAGAAATGAAAGCCTTACCACCACACAAGAAAAGACGCTGCACAGCCCAGCGCAGGCCGACCACTCTGAACCTCCCCTTCGGGCTCCCAGAGAAATGCACCCATGGACACGTCTCTCAGGCCGCCTGTTCCCTCAGGGCCTCCTGGGGTCGCCACTTTGCCCAGGCCAGGGGTCAGCCTACTAAGCCCCAAGGGCTAACTCCAGCCTGCCATCTGCTTTTGCAGCTCCCACAAGTGAATAATGGTTTTTACATTCTCCCCCCTTTTTTAATATTTCTAATGTTTGCAGAAGAACTATATTTTGTGACACATAAAAATTACATGAAGTTCAAATCTCATTATCCATAAATAAAGTGTGACTGGAAATGCCGTCAGCCCATTCAATTGCACGTTACCTACGGCTGCTGGTGCCGTGACCAGCGGAACTGGGCCGTTGTGACACAAACCACAGAGCCACAAAGATGAAAATACTCACTCCCTGGTCCTTTATGAGAGCAACGCCAACTGTGAGTTCGGCAGCAGTTTTCAGCCTTGACTGTATACCCCATCGTATGAGAAGCTTTAAAAACAATACTGATGACCAGCCCCACCTGCACTCATCAAACAGCATGCCGGGGGGTGTCGGTGGGGGAGCACCCAGGCATCTATATTTTTTAAAACTCCCCACAGGGAATTCTAAAGCCCGGCCAGGGTGAGAACCACGGAGAGAGCCAGAGCCAGCATTTTCGTCCCAGGCTGCTGGCCTCGCTTCTGAGCGGAATTCCCGCAGCAGTAACGGACCGCGGGGCATCGTGGGACTCACCAAAGACCCAACTCTTCTGCCTTCCCTTCCCCAACTCCATTCACCCCATTCAACTCAAGCCTCTTCCAAGAAGCCCTTCTCCAACGCTCTGATGCACGTGCATTTCTCCGGTCTCCGAGCCCTGGCCCCGTCTGCACGCCGAGGGAGGGAGGCTGGTCAGCACTGGGGACCTTGCCTTCCCATGAGCTCTGGCTCCTTCGTAGAAGGTCCAGCCTTCAGGACAGGATCCCAAAGGCCTCTTGACTCGCCAGGCCTCTTACACAACAGCACTGCCGTGACTGCTATCAGTTGTGCAAATGTTTGTGCTGACTGGGGACGGCGCTCAAGGCCGGCACTTTCTGTGTGCTGGGCACTGGGCACAGTGCTCCACACCGGACGGTCCCTAAAACCCGGGAAAGGCCTTCTGGAATCAGCACCATCAACAGACAAGGAAACTGAGGTTCCCAGGGTCGATGGCAGTTGCTCCGCACCACACAGCTCGGTGGCAGAGCGGGGCTGTCCAACTCCATCTTTTCAGCAACTGTTAAGCTAAGACCATGCAGGGACCCAATAAAGCATCTTCGTATTATTATAAATACAGTGTCTACGTGGCCTGAATTTGCAGGGACAATTCCAATTTCTTACAAGTTTATTGTTTTGGATTAAAGTGGTTTATGAAAGGTAGTTTTTTGGATTAAAGTCTATAATTTAACATGACTCAACACTCCTATGTTAAACTTTTGAAGTAAATAGCAGTAGAGAGAAGGAAAAAAAATGTATCCCCTGCAGGCCCCTTTGGGTGTGTTTGCCAGAGGTGTTAATTCAGGGCCCCAAGTGTGGAAGAAATGTGACCTCCGTGCTGTGCTTGACAAAAGACTCGGTGCCTGAGAAAGCCCCGAACCCCTCCCCCTGCACTTCTGCAGCCGCTTAGCTCACACACCCCCTGCACACCCCCAGGAGGGACCCCTGAAGACTCCCATAGGCTCCTCTTCAGAATGACCGAACAACTACAAGGTCAGCCTCCCTCCCGGCGGGCTGACCGCATGTCTGGGACACGTCTCTTGCCTTTTCTGAATGCCCCGTCAGAGGAGCTAAACGACTGCCGAGTTCCTCCCGGCCCCAGGAGTCCTCGCTGCCTGACACGCTCACGAGCCGCAAAAACTAGTTTTTGACAAGTTCTTTAATCTTCTGACTAGTCCAACATTAGGGAGGACTCTTGTTTTTGAAGTTGTACTCTTAAAACAGCAGAAACTGGCTGTCTGTAGAGAGCCCTTCGGGAAAGAGACAGAGCATGAATCTGGATTATGTTCTCCCCCGCACTGAGAACCTCAGTTTCTTCATCTAGGAAATGGGGATGACGGCACCTGCTTTAGCGCCCCCTGATGGTGGTGGAAAGACAGCACAAGAGCACACCTACAAAGCATTCAGCCTGGCATATGGAAAGCACGCAACAAAGGGTAGAAGTTGTTACTTGACTGCTTGTAGGCCTTGATTTGAATTGCTGAGAAAACAGTGTCCAGCTGGATGAAGTTCCTAGAAGGCAGAGGTCGTGTTTCTCAAGCATTTTAAAGGAATATCATGAACCCAGTACAAAGCATGGTGTAGAGCGAAGGTTGACAAATGATTTCTGTAAAGCACCAGGTAGTAAATGCTCTCAGTTTTACGGCCCAGTCTCTGCACCGCTATTCACTTAACTCTGCCCTTGCAGTGGGAAGCAGCCATAGACAATACATAAACGAGGAGCATGGCTGTGTTCCAATAAAACTTTATTTGTGGACACCAAAAGATAAATTGCATGTCATTTTTACATATCCTCAAATAGTATTCTTCTTTTGATTTTTTCTAACCATCTGAAAGTTAACAACCATGCTTTACTGGCAAACCAAACACAATGAGGCTGAGGGCCACAGTCAGCTGAGCCAGTGGTAGGACACTTCATATCACGTCAAAAAGCAAGTTCAAGTGCAGCAGGTTCGGTATGCTTCGAGTTCATACATTAAAACACACCTTCATGGGGAAAAGGGTTGTATGGATGGATACACAGCAACTGTTAATAAACATCACGGGGGAGCGGGGTATGGGTGATTTTTGTTCCTCCTTTCTGCTTATTTGCAATTGTCTGAATTTTCAACAAATGCAGCACCACTTTGGTAACTTTTGAAAATGCATTAAAATGAAGAGGGAGGGAAAACAAGAAATCTAGCAGGCAGGGCTGAGAAGCACTCAGTGCACGGACATGCCTACACTAACCTGCTCAGGAAATCACCTTAAACGGGATGACTACACAGGTGCGAGTAGATTTGCCCCCGCGCTTCACAATCACTAGGTTTCAAAGAGGTTTGCCGCGACCGACCATCATCTTTATCAAGACTAAGGGGAGGGAACCCGGGTCCGTGCCAACTGGTCAACCTTGGGGCACCTGTGTGCTCCCGAGCGCCCTCCTCCAATCGACATCCCTGCCAAATCCGTCCTCCCCTCCAAGGCCGAGTCTAGCTAGTGTTTTTGCAAGGCGGGCTCCATCTTCCCAGCCTCCAAACAGAGGCCTGCAAGTCTTTGGGTGCGGGCGGGGTGGAGGGGGTGGTGCTAAGGGCAGGACTTCGCAGTAGGGAAGTGGGAACTGCGCCGCATAAGTTTGTAAAAGTTAGCAGTCATTAAAATCGCAGGCTTACTTACTTTACTTCGCGATCAGGGAAACAGACCTTGCACTTGGCAGGACTCATGTTGATCGCCCCGCCGGCCAGTCCCACCGGGTTCCTGCTGGGATGCAGAGCATGCGTCTCTTAAAGCCGACCCGGGTCCCGGAGCCCAGAGGGGCAACCAGGTCGCGACCAGCAGGTGGAGGCCCAGTTCAAGGGTGCCTCTCGGGCCCAGTTGTGCAGCAGCCGGCAGGCACCCGACTCGGCGCAGCTCTTCCTCCATCCCGAAATGCCTCCCGCGCCCAAGTGTCCCGGGCGGACGCGCCCGCCCAGGCCCCGCCTTGCCCCGCCCCCAAACGGATCCCGCCTCCTGCCCCCGGGACTGATGGTCCGGCCCCCGGACCCTGCAATCTTGGAGCTGCAGCTGACCTTGGGCGCTGGGCGACAGTTGCTTGCAAAAAAAAGACGCCTTGGCTGCTTGCCCCCCAAGCTCCCCGGGCTACAATAGAGGAGTTCTAAGACGGCCTCCCCCTAAGACGGACAGCTGCAAAACCGTCGCAATTAATGGGCTTGAATACAACCCACGACAGGGAAGTGGGGGAAAATGTGGGCTCTCTGAAGCGAGTCAGCTGCACCACAGTGCCCGGTAAAAGCCCCGATAGTCAAGTCAACTTTCGGCTTCCAAGTTCCTGTTTTTTTGCTCTGTTTTGGTTTTTTTGCTTATTCTTTCACCTCTCCTTCCAAGGGCATGTCTGCTCCAGGATTCCGCCTCCCCCACAGCGGGCTTTCCAGCACATACTTTGAACCACCAGGTCCCCCTTCCAGAGTGAGGGCCTCCTAGACTGGGAAGACCCCCTGGCAACCTGTGACCTAAATAAGCTGCTTTCTGGTAAGATGACCATTTCCTGAGTACTTTTGGGGGACTCTGTCTCATTGGACCCTCGCAGAAAGCCTGTTGTTTTTATTCCCACAATGCAGCGGTGTATGTTGCCCAAGGTGACAGCTAGCAGGTGACTTGAACTGCAGGCAGAGCGAATGAATGAATGCTTCTCCAAGTAGTTAAAAGAGATAAACAGGATTCAAAACACTGACCAGAAACTACTGCAATAATAATAAATGCAGCCTATGTTCATAGCAAACAAAAAGCAAAATAATAATAATAATAATAATAATAATAATAATGTGAATGTTTGCAAGTGATTGCCTTCAAAAAGCATGGCCAGGGCCACACCTCCAGGGGGCGCTACGTGGAGTGTGCCCAGAAAAGAAATAGGGACCTCCCCCTGGCGTTGCATTAGCAGCCCTCCCTGAGGGCACTGGTAAGTTGTGTTTTAATCATATATTTAAAATGTTTCAACAACAGGTTAAAAAATAAAGCAGGTGAACAAAATTCTCAGTTCTTCAGAGTTTCTAGAATGTTCTTCATGGCCTCGCCTTCAGTCCTTCCAAACAAGAAACTGACATTAGGCTGATTTTTTTTATTTTTTTAAGTTTCAAACCAAAACCAAAAAGCATTTTGTCCCCCAATGACCCAGACGTCCATGTAACCACCTCAAAATAGAGAAAGCAATTAAAATCAGGAAATGAAGGTATTGCAAAACACCCTCCCCTCCCCAGAGTCCGTTAGGATCGCGCAGGAGGGAGCTCTCACCGGTTTCCTTGCCTCGCTCTAGGTTTTTACTCTCTCTCGACAAACCCCCAACACCTGTTGAATGCTGAGTGGCTGTTGTCTCTTTTCTGCTCATACACCCCAACACGCCCAGCTTTACCCAGAGGGTCTCAAGAAAGGAATTCCATTCGGGTGGCTGGGCTGTGCGGGTCACCCGAGTGATAACGACTTGCGTTTTTCTCTGCCCTGTGAGCGAACCGAAGACGGCGGGAAAGAACAACGCCCACCCCTATGCCCAGCACCACCGTCCTTCGCACACCATCAACACTCGTGATTCTCAGCGACACAGTTCAGACCTGGCTGTACTTGTGAACTCACGCTGTGAGCCCTTCTCCTGACAGCGATCAGAGGCTGCATTGAACTTGTTGGCGTTGCAGAGGGCAAACCCAGGTCAGCAGCAGCATGCACGCGCGCGCGCACACACACACACACACACACACAGTGAACAAGGAAACCCACGAGCAAGTGACTAGCGGCAGGGCGGAAAGACACGAGCGATGACGGACCTCAGGCCCGCCCCTGTGCGCTGTGTGACCTCGAGCAAACCCCTTCTCTCCACTTCCTCTCCTGTCAAATCACTGACACACGATGTGCTTTTGTTAGAAAAGAATCCCTTTCGATATATGATGGGGGAACTATTGTGGCTACGTATAGAGCAGAAGTAAAAGATTTTCCTAAAACAGGATGCTGATGTTTAAGGGGAAGGAGAAAAATAGGAAGGTTTAGTCACTCCGTCTCTTTTGTTTTTAGATTGTATTTATTTATTTTTAGGCAGAGTGGAAGGGAGGGAGAAAGAGAGGGAGAGAAATATCAGTGTGTGGTTGCCTCTCACACGCCCCCAACTGGGGACCTGGCCTGCAACCAGGCATGTGCCCTGACTGGGAATTGAACTGGCGACCCTTTGGTTCGCAGGCCAGCACTCAATCCACTGAGCCACACCAGCCAGGGCCCCTGTATTTTCCTGTATTAGTTTAATAGCCACCCTCTCCCGGACCTCTGTAGCCATTCCACTAACAGAACAACAAAAAGGCAGGGATCCCTTTTATGCCTGGCTTCCAGAGAATATCTTAGGAGCTAAAGAGATTTGAAAATGGGGATTCTGTCAGCCCCCTCCTAAATTAATAAGCGAATACATAAAGATATTATAGAAAGATCCATCGCACTATATTCAGAGACAAATACAGATACGTAGAGAGAGTTTAGGGTTCTGTGAGCCACTCACCACGTGCAGCTGATGAGAAAAGGGGTGGATGGTGTTGACAAGCAGGAGGGGCCTGGGGAGGTGCCCACCGCAAAGCCACCCGGGATGCTATTTGCGACAGGGAGGGCGCAGCAAGGTCCCAGGGGTCCGTGTGCTGTCCGGTGTGCCTTCAGTCCCTGGCAGGGCTCCCTCCTTCCCGTCCAGACCCCACAGGCCCTCACTCGCCTTCTCAGGATCCGAGGTGTGTGTTGCTGCACCTCTCGAACTCAACACTCCCACGGGGAAGTGAGCGTTTTGGGAAACAGCAGAGAAAAGGCCCGGCCCCCGTGTGCTGGTTTATATTTTACCCTGTATCAGGGACACTCCTCCCACCTTTTCAATCCCCCCTCCTCCTCCGTGGACAGAGGTTGCCATACCTTAAACGCGTGCATCTGTTGCAGCGTGGGAACAGCCATGAGTACCGGCGAGAGCTTTGGAAGATGCCCATTCAACAGACGGTAACTGAGGCAGCCTGGGGCCATCCACTCCGGGCACTTCCTCCCACGTGAGCTCAACAGACTCCCAGAGGAGAGCCAGTAGTAGCCTGCGTCAGCAGGGAAGGGCACTGGGGCTCGGAGGGGTCAGGGGACTACTCTGGGATCCAAACCCAGGCCTGTCTGGCAACGGGGCCTGGGCCCTTACTATGACACCATGCTGTGCATGCAGTGACAATGACTGCACGGTGGGCACTGCTTTAAGTGCTGTGCTCATAGCAACCCAACTAAGCCTGACACTGGCCCTGGGAGGCAGTGCTCCTGTGGCCTCACTTTAGAGGACGCTGAGGCACAGAAAGGCGACGGCTCAGCCCCAGGTCCCATGGCGGCGGAGGGGAGGAGTCGGCAGGCCAGTCCGCAGTCAGTGGGCCCCCAGCCCTCCACCCCTCTCTCCAGCTGTGAAGGGAAGCCTTCTGGGCTCACGGCCTCTCAGTCCTCACCCTGTCCTCTCCGAGGGCAGGGGCCGGGCCTCACCGTCTACGCGTCCACAGTGCCAGCCACAGTGCCTGGCAGCCACCCAGTCGGGCTGCAATAAACGCTCCCAAGCCAATGAATGGAGGGGACGAACCTTAGCTTCTCTGCTTGACCATTTCATGCCTTAGTCTGTCCTTCAACTTGCCTAGAACCAGACTCTCTGCGGTAATTGGCGAAGGAGAAAATGGTTATAAACTAAGCTTTTTCCAATTTTCCAGCTGCTCTCTTTTCCCCATCTCCCAGCCCCCACCTACCCTTTCCCACACAAAAACACAAAAGCAGCCCTGGCTGGTGGCCCAGTTGTTTGGAGCATTGTCCTGTGCACCAGAGAGCTGAGGGTTCAATCCCCAGTTCGGACACGTACCTAGGCTGCAGGTTGGATCCCTGGTCGGGGCACACACACAGGAGGCAACCGATGGATGTCTCCCTCTCACATCAATGTTTCTCTCTCTCTCTCTCTCTCTCTCCCCACCCCCGCCCCTCTAAAATCCACAAACATATCCTTGGGTGAGGGTTTAAAAAAAGAAAAGCAAGGACTGTTAGAGCCATGGAGGACCTTGGAGTATCCAGTCTGGCCCAGAGAGGGTGGGTGACATCCCCAAGATCACACAGCTCAAGGGTGGTTGCAGGACAAACTGCCCCACCCCCTGATTCTTCCACTCGTGGAAAGGGTGGTGGTGTCTCTGCTGGAGCGCAGTCAGGTGGCCACACCGATCCTGGGAGCTTCCCGCCCACTTTCTAGGCTGCACCTGCTGAGGGTCTGGGCTCAAACAGTGCTCTGGGCCCGTGGGAAGCTTGCTGGGAGACCTTGGACAGACTCTGAACCTCTCTGGCCTCGGCCTCGTTGCTAGGAAGTGAGATGCCTGGTTCACTCCCCCACCCACAATATACTTTCTAATGTTTCATTATTGAACGTTGTTAAAACTCGTTACAATATTTACAGCAGAAAGTTAGAGAACACAGAAGAAAAGTTAAATTACTGATAATTATACCACATAAAGACAATAATTATTAACTACTTGGAGACACGCCTTCCTGTGTCTCTAGCCACATGCACACATTTATTAAACACAAGCATTTATTTTTTTGTTCACTAGGTGCTAGGAATGGTCTAACCACGCTACATACATGTATCCACGATCCTTTTCCCAAAACTGCCAGGGCCCCATGGGCTTTGGAATTGGGAAAATTTTTTTTAGGAAGGTAAAAATTTATGTTACACACTTTCACGCTAATAGTTCAGCAGCAGAAGACATGAGCATTCATACAAAAGGTGATAAAGACTATAAATAACTTCACAACTATTCCAGGCGGGTTTGCTGTTAAGTGAGTTCACCGCCAACTCATGAACTTGAATTTTGTAACTTTAAGTTTCAGGACTGAGTTGCACAATCCCAAATCCATCCCGTCCCACTCGGCCCACTCGCGCACCCCACACGGCAGCACTGTTAGGGCAACAAGCTAGGAAGAGGCGGCTTTGAACCTGGTATCTCACCCCAGGCCCACTGTGTACTAACCACACCGCCGCTTGTTCAATCAAAGGGGAAAACCTGTAACCTTCATGTCAGAGCATGTGAGCATCTGTTTTGCCACGTGATGTCACGTTCTCATCGTCTCTATTTCCAAGGGCTGCATGGGACTTCCAACCTTCGGGGACTGTTTCCAAGTGCAAGGAAAGGCCAAGTCCCAACCCCTGGCCTGAGATGCACCCAAAAGGGAAGAGACGGGAGGGGAGGAGAGCCCCGAACAAACAGCATGAAGTCATTGGATCTGTAATATTTTTAGCCGGCCCTTGTCAGCTGGGAAAATGGAAGGGAAGGGGGAGACTGTGTAGCCATATAAAAAGCAGAAGAAAAATTCAAAATTGAGTTTAACCTCAGAACCAGACTATGAAGTCACAAGATTTACGCAAAAAGAATTCTCTGAGAACAAAAATTCTACTTCTGCTAAAGAGCAACAACCAAATGTCTCTTCATTCATTCGTTCATTCATTCACCCATCTATTCCCAGACTCATTCACCAAGTGTTCCGCGTGCCCCAGAAATAAAATACTCTGTCTCTGACAAGCATGCCTTGCTCGCTTCATTCATGCATTTGGCAAATATTTACCCAGAGTCCACCCTGAGCCTGCACTAGGCTAGGGAGTGGGAGAAAGCGGACACCCCATAAATACGGCCCTGTTTTCATGGAGTGTGCAGGAGACAGGTAAAAACTAAGTAAACAAATGAGGAAATTAAAGGCAATCTCAAGGAGTGATTCGGTGCCGTGAAAACAACACATCTGGGTGATGGGTCAAGAAACTGGGGGGGTGGGGGGGGCATGAGTGGAACACTCTGACGGTAGGAAGGGGACAGGAAGGGCCCTCGGAGGCAAGGACTTTGATAGGCAAAAGCTAGAGGTGGAGTTAGGACCGGCTGCAGAATTTAGGGGGCCCAGGGCAAAACGTAGAGCCCGTTGTTCAAAAGTTATTGAAAATCTAAAGACAGTGACAGCAGAGCACTCAGCCATGTGCTCAAGGTGCTGTGTGACCGCCCAGGTCACCGCCGCGGAGCCGGCCCTGGTGGGAGGTCGAGAGCGTGAAGAGGAAGAGCCAGTGCAGAGGACACAGCAGGTGCAAAGGCCCAGCGCTGCGAGGGTGTGTATTCTGGGATGTGGAGGGCAGAGAAGGGCCCCGTTGCAGGCTGCTTCAAAAAGCACTTCCTCTGCTCCCGAACATTAAACACGTGTATTTCCATCCCGGGCCTTGCCGGTCTCACGGTGGGCAGCCTGGGAGGGAGAGACCCAGGGGGGCCACAAGGTGGCCTTCAAGCAGCTCCCGAGGACGAGCGGCTCCCGAGGACACTGTGGGAGGCAGGGAAGACGCACAGATACACGTCCCTTCTTTGCTGTGGTTTCCACACAAGCGCAGAGGAGCCCTGGAATGAACCCTCCAGGCCTCTGCTTTCTGTCTAAGAAAGAGGGAAGGAGTTGGAGCCGGGCAGGATGGGCTGCCCTGCTCTCTGCTTCCACTTCGGAGAAACGAAGCCCCAAGGGTCAAGAGAGGTGCCTCAGGGCAACCACTCCTGATCAGCTTATCAGGAAAAAAGGCATCATAGTCATAAAGAGAACTTCCCGGAATTAACAGGAACTCTCCGGCCTCTGTTTCCTTGATGCTCCACCTGGTGGCAGGCGGCACGCCAGACTGTCCCACCCAGGAACTCCATGACCCACATCTGAACTGGCTGGAGCATTTCACCCGGAGGTCCCCCGGGGAAAAGGTGTTCCTACCTCAGAGAACAGCCCAGCAGCGGCCCTCTGCAAAGCAACACTCTGGAGGGGGTTTTTTTGGAGCGGGAAGGGGGTCCCCCTGACCATCCCTTCAGAGAGCTGGCCCAAGGCCCTGCCAGGGGTGTGAGAGAAGGGTGAACGGGGGACCGAAAACCAAGCTGCAGAGGTCCCCAAAGACTCAAAAATACCAAAGCCGAAACTCTACAGCCGGATGATAGAACATTCGGC